GGGTTTGGTGTTTAGGGTTTAGGGGTTTAGGGCTGTAGGGGTTTAGGGGTTTAAGGTTTAGGGTTTAGGGTTTAGGGTTTAGGGCTTCGGGATGGTGGACTTTTTCGGCTCTTGGCGAAGACTCGTTTACTCGAATCCGTGACTCTCCTTCGTGAGATTCAGTCTTGCCTACACTATTAACATGCTAAGGAACACAAGAAACACCATTACTGACTAATTATAATAAGGAGCCCCCAAAATAGTATTGGTAGATACTTGGGCTCCTACAACACTGTGCCGAACGAAGCCCTGAGGTACCAACGGCCGTGCGATAGCGGCGCTCAGCAGAGGCAAAGGGGTTCCTGCATCTGGATGAACCCTGCACCCTAATTCAAACCCTAAACCCTGAACCCTAAACCCTGAGCTTAGTTGCTCAGGGTTGATGCTGTTGTTGCACTTAGGTGGTTAAGGGGTAAAGTTCTGTCTGTGTACTCGCTGTGAATGCACACTTCCATACACTCCGGTATCCTGGTTCGGAAGAAACTCGAGATCCCTAGAGATCCCGTAAACCTCACCACACGCCCTAAACTTTAGACCCTCGAACACCCCTTTTTTGTATCACCCACGAGCCACACTCTAAAACCTGAACCCTAAACCCAAAACCCTAAACCCTAAACCTCAAACCATGAGCCACACTCTTAAACCCACATCCCGCGCCGGAAAGCAGGGTCGATTCTGTGGTTCTGGGGAGCCTTTGTTGTAAGCATCCCGGAAAGGCATGGCTTTGGGCTTAGAGGCTTTATGTAGGTTTTAGGATGTAGCGTAGGGCCTGGTCTTCGGGGTTTAAGGCTTTGGGGTTTTGAGTTTCATATTTTAGCTGGGGATCATGGAGCAGTGGCTTCTGACAGGCATGAGCTCATCACAGGGCTTAAGGGAGGTCCCCTGGAAGCTTCAGACGCAACGATCTTTGCAAGCGAAGCCGCTAAGACCCTATAACACCCCGCAACATTAAGACAGAATTTCAGAAGCTCTATGAATCACTGGCAAATCCTTCGAAATCCTGATCTATATAGTACGGTAGTATGCACATGTGCTGCGGCGCACCCACTGAGATTCAGTCGTCGGAGCCCATCTCCTGGCAGCTCGGCTCAGGGCTACGGAGTTGGAGACGAACTTGGGATGTGGGATCTCTCTGTTGAAGGCTGCCCGTTCTCTTACGGACCTTCAACTCTATATACCCCAGACACTAAAGCTCATAAAGCCCAGCGCCCCATAATCATGACGATCCTGTGATTGGTGACGTGAAAGCCCCCAAAGCCGGGATGCTTGTGTTGATAAGCTCTTAATCATGGAGCCCGGCTACCTCTACTACCCTTAGGACGTAGCCAGCAAAAATGAAAGATTGCATAATAAGCCAAAACCCTAAACCCAAACTACAGACAAACTCACATGCTTCGCAGATCCGTGCAGTACTTGCAGTACTGGCCCGCTGTTAGTGATATTGCAGAGAGTTTGCTGTCTTTTGTTTGAGCATAACTTTTTGAAAGACGATGAGCTGTTAATGATATTGCTAAGTTGGCTTGGCTCTTTAATCTTGCGGACAACGGCTTTTTTTGCAGCATGCTCGCCCAGCCGTCACTGCCAGCCCATCACGTAGTTCAGCTCCTGCAACCGGGAAAACCCTAAACCCCAAACCCAAAACTCAAAACCCTAAACTCTAAACCCTAAGCCCATTAAAAAAAATGATCCGAATCAAAAATGGCCTTGATGATCGCCGTTGCCACAGGCAACGGCCACGAATTGCCCAGCGCACTGCCCTGCTGCCGACTTGTCAAATCATGCCAATCCGTAGAGTCGGGCCATCCTTGTGCCCGTGCCAACTCCTGGCATGGGATGATTGATGTGAACGAATCAAGGCAATAAACCAAATCCCCCGCCTGTGTCATGACATGGCGAGCCCTTGAAGTGATCCAGAAGCTGTGCCCTCCACCGCGACTCCGTGTAATGCATGGAAACCTGGTTGTGGCAATTTCAGATCGTAATGCTCGAAATTTAAAATTGAAATGCCGGAGCCCGCCTCTCTTTGACGGGTTTGCCGCAAAACTTGCGGCTCGCCCCGACATCGATCACCCAAGTGTCCTCATCGTTCTCATCTGCCGCACTCAGGGCTTTTAGCCCTACTTTGAGATTCCTCTTCCCTGTCTTGGAGACAGGGAAGTCGGGGTTCTTCCGGCACGACTTCCTTCCAGGGGCACAGCAATGTTGAAGAATGGCTCTGCTGAATGAAATACAAGTAAGACGCTAAGCAGCGCCTCAGCAAAATGCTCGAAAGCTTGCGCTTCTTCGTGGAACCCTCGGGCCATGTGAAGCTTCCTGAGTCATGCAGGACTTTTAGAGCTTTAGAGGTATTGAACTTGCTCTGTACTTATGAAAGCAATGTCAGGGCACGCTGGCCAGCGACCTTCGATTTTCTGTATCCCACAATCCATAGGCGACGACGGCTCTGAGGCAGCTGGAAGTCCAACGCATTCAGCACCTTGCAATTGACAATGTGGTGTGGCCAATGGGTCCCCAACTCCAAAACACGAGGCCGTTCCTAAATCAAAACCAAGGGGCCTTGTATGTGATCGTGTAGAGCCCAGTCTTGTTCAACCTCAGCGTCATAAGACTAAGACCATCGTGGAAGTTGAGGATCTTCTGTTGGTTTTGCAGACGAGTGGCTGTCTCAAAAGTGAGCCGAGGAAATCACTGTGGCGATTGTTGGCCAGGGCAGCCACATTTTCCAAAATAAAAGTGTCGGGCTTGAGGGTGGAGATCCTTTCCACAGCCTGCGCATACGAATTGGCTCAGGCTAGCTAGACTCAGAAATGACGAGGACACATAACTTCATACCTGGCCTTCTTCAAAACACGGGAGCGGGGATCCTTCTTTCCAAGCTTCTTTCCGATATTTGCGAATGGTTGGCAGGGAGCGCCAGCTCCAAAAATATGAACATGATTTTTGATGCCTTAGCCACAACAAATCAAATGGGCTTAGGGTTTAAGGTTTAGTATTAGTCTATATTCAAAACCTAAACCTCAGTAAATATTTCATACAGACGGCGCAAACAAAGCACTAAACCCCTAAACCCAGAATCCCTATGCAGCAAGCATCTCACATCCATCAGAGCATCAGCCGACATCATAGCAGGCTTGTGCACTTCCTCGATACGATGACGTAGCGGCCGGTCGCATTCAGATGCATACACTAACTGCGATTGCAGTCCTGCCAACCTGCAAGGCTCCACATGTTACAGCAGTACATTAAAAACTTGGGTGTTCCTAAGCCCTAAAACCCTAAACCTTAAGCCTTAAACCCTAGCCCTTAGTTAGTTTAAATGCCCTAAATCTTAAACCTTAAACCCTCAACCCTAAACCTTAAACCTTATTAAACCCTAAAGCCCTAAACCCTAAACAGCTGAGCACTGAACTCACAGCAGACGGAGAGTGGCTCCAGGCCAGCACATTCCGAGGCCAGCTTCAGGACTTGCACCACAGGCATGGCTAAATTATGGTAGTCAAGCCTAAGAATGAACGAAGCAAGCCCTGGGCCCTCTAATTTATAATGTCTGCTTACTGCATCATTCACCACTGCCACATGATGGGCTGATGGTCGGCCTGCCTGCATGCTGCTGCTGATGCGGGTCGCACAGCACAGACAATTAAATACGGTTGTAGTCATCAGCAAGAAACTGAACATGTTTGAATGTTCAACCCAAAACCTCTAAACCTAAACGGGGTTCCCGGCATCTTGGGATCTGGAGTTACCTTGTACCCCGACAACGTAGCTGTAACTCTTCAGAGAGCATAGACAGCAAGGTCAGGAACGTTCAACAAAGGTAGGTGTTGGGCGGTTCAGGTAACATTTAGGGTTAATTCCGGTTCTGTTTAATAATCAGCAACCCTAAATAAGGTGGGTCTTTTGGGCTACAGGTTAGGGCTGCTTGGAGGCCGGGAAGACAGCTCGCAAGGTTGATTATGGGCTTTCCCTAGGGTCATTATTTGGGTTCTTTGCGGTTTGGGGATTGGGATTTAGGTTTAAGGGGTCTGTTCAGTGGTCGTCCGACCTAAACTCCAAGGCCTTGGCCTCTCAGAAACGCCTGGAAGTCTCCCTTTGTCTAGACTATGGAGTATCATTGTCATTGCGAAGGCCTATCTATAAACCCTCAATCCCTGAACCCCTAAACCCCTAGACACCTAAACCTAAACCCTAACCCCTAAACTCCTAAACCCGAACCCCTAACTCCTAACCCCTAAACCTTAACCCCTAAACCCCTAAACGCTAAACCCTAAGCTTTCTTATCACAGAGGTTTGGGCTTAAGGGGTCTTGGTTTGGGGGCAAACCATACTGCAACAATTACAACAGTATCTCACCCTAAACCCTAAACCCCTAAGCCCCTAAAGCCCTAAACCCTAAACCCTGAAACCCCTTAAACCCTAAAACACCAAACCCCTAAACCCTAAACCCCTTAAACCCCTTAAACCCCCAAACCCTAAACCCTAAACCCCTTAACTTTAACCCCACACCCTAGGCCGGCATTTTAAAAGCGCGAGAATCCCGCAAAAGGCTCTCACGGGCTGCTGGCGCTGCTGGCCGCGCCGGTGCAGATGGCTCTTCCAGGCACTTATTATAATCGGGCTTCCATTTCAGGGCTAGGGGACACATTCTTCTAGGTTTCGGTCCGGTGACGTAACGACGACGAAGCATTCAGTAGCGAAGAACCGTAGAATATCTAGTAAATCAAACATACTCCTGAAATTGTAATAGCATGAGGACCCAGCCGTCGTGCCATTGACTCTGCCATCATCATGAGGTCATCAGACATCGTGGTCACATAGCCTCCAGGTCCATACAAAATCGGAGGCGACTGTAAGGCATCCAAAATTTCTGAAGAGCCCCTTTTCGGCTGCATTCAGAGGCTCTCTAGGTCAGGGATCCCAGCTTCTTGAGAATGGTGTCCTCGGCAATGTAAATTCTCAGATTAAACGTAATGCATATGTGATGCACACGCGAAAAGCATTGAACAAAGCAACTGCAAATGCCCAGCCTTGGGTTTTTTTCCACCACGTCCGCCTCCTTTCATGGGCTGGGGCTTGCCACCGTCACCACGACCACCCTTGCCCCTGCCCCGGCCACCGCGTCCTCGGCCTCTGCCACGGGATTTCTTGGGGGGTTCGTCTTCATCATCATCTTCCTCCTCGTCATTTTCCTCATCATCATCCTCCATTTCAGCATCCTCTTGGTCCTCCTCCGGGTCCCCCAGGTCGTCATCTCCTTCCTCGTCGTCACCATCTTCCTCATCTTCATTTTCATCTTCCTCCTCCTTTGCCTCGTTCTTTTTCGGCTTCTTGCCCTGACTCTTTCCCTTTGGGACTGCCTGACAGATGGGATTGAAATGACAGTTAAACCTTCAACTTCAAGCCCATTGCACTGCAGAATAATCGTGCCTTGCGCTTGTTCTGCTTCTTGCCCAGCACTGCAAGCAGGCCAGGTTCAAAAAGCACCGAGTCTGGGGTCTGCATGTCGGCAAAGACAACAGACTCCAGCCGTTGATAGAGGCGTGTCATGTGCTCCTCCGTAAAGCAGATGCCGACGAAAGAACATCTCCTCCGGATCGCCACAATGGCTGTTTTGCCATCGCCTCAACAATATAATATCAAAATGGTGCTACCCACATTGAATTGAATTTCAAACGCATATACTTAGCCAGGGCACATACAGAAAGATCAAGAATGAATGAAGCATTCGTGTCATGGAGGAGCTCCTCAACCTTGGATGGCTTTCTAAATCAAGTACTCAGGCAGAGTTGGTGGTGGGGCGGGTGGGGGGGTGGGGGGGGGGTTAGGGTTTAGGCTTTCGGGGTTTAGGCTTTTGGGGTTTAGGGTTGAGGCTTTTGGGTTTAGGGTTTTGGGTGAC